ACTTGTGGGGGTGACTAATTATTCTCTAGACATGAAAAAAAACTGAAAGTGAATACAGAGTTTCTCACTGAAGCTAACTTTTAAAATAGGACAAGTTTTTATTTTATTTATTTATTTTACAGACTGTCAGGAATGGACTCAGCACTGGTGGTGGGACTCACCTGCCGTGTGGGCTGCAGTACCAGGGCTGACCAGCGGGTGCTCTCAGCAGCCAGAAGCTCACTCCTGCAGTCAGCCAACACCTGGGGCTGATTGCAGGAGGTGTATTTAAGGAATGACCAGGCCTGTGATCAGGGCCTTGGTGTAATGTTTCCCATGAGCCCCTGTACCTGGTATCCTGTGTTCCTGCCTATCTGCTGACCCTGCTTTGATCCTGACCTCTGCTGACCGTCTCCTGTTGAACCCCTGGCTTGCCTCACCATCCTTCTGCCTGATCCTCTGTACGCGCGCTGCCCGTGCGTTACTGAACCCGGCTTGTGACCCTGACTATTCTCTGCCTGCACGTTGCTGACCTGGCCTGTCTGACTACGCCTTACGCTACCCAGACGATCCATCCATCCTGCACAGATCCAGCCATCCCTGCTCACATTTTCTGCCTCTTCATATCAGGCTTTCCCCCGGTACATGCCCTCGGCGGACCCCTCTACCACAGATGGGTGCACTCAGGGGCCGCGACCTGGTCTCAGTCCTGCGCCAAGTCCATCCCCACCATCAGGGGCTCTGGTGAAAAGGCAGACTGGGGCTTAGACTCCGCGCCCTGGGGAATCCTGTTCTCTGGGTCACTAGAGATCCCGCCGGGCGGTGCCTGACAGTACCTTACGGCCCGCTTGACCATTCCACCTCTCCAGCCCTGACTACGCCTGTGTTCCTGAAGCCTGCTACTTCCCTGTGTCAGTCCACACACCTCTGGTCATACCCGGATCCCTAACACAGACCATCCTTGTCCTTACTTTTGGGTGGGCTTGCTAGTTATCTCCTTAACCCCAGTAATCTCTGATCTATTCCATGTTGTCCAGGTAGATTGCCACCTCTCATAGGTTGCCTACCCCTGCTTTAAAGCATATCTAAACCCAAAAAAATTTTATATACTGCAGCTTACCTTTTTTTTTTTCTTTTTAACAGAGGTGGCTGTATTAGTTTTATTTTTTTATGCTGCCTTCTTTAATTTCATCTGGTAGTCCTGTGAACAATGCACCTGAGTAACTATGCTCACTCTTCTAACAGTATCAATGGAGGGAGCTACGGTTCCCAATAAAAAATGGATTTCAAACATGTCTGGCTTTGTTCATCTCCATTAAGATGAGAGATAGGGAGAATGGTAACTTGCATAAAGAAGATAAGATCGGTTAAATGTTTCAGGCAGCTCACAGGAGGTGACAGACACTGCATTTCTGGTAAGATCCAACAGATAATCGAGAAAAAAAACAAACTAATGCAGCCACCACAGCAGTAAGCTGGTTGTTCTTGGATGCAATTATCCTCCAAATCAGTTTATTAAATTACAAAATAAAATACTGTTCTAAACTTAAAAATGGAGCCAAAAGATTAATAGTTGATACTGATTAAATTTATAATGCTGAAAAGAACATATTTATAGAAGAATTGCTTAGGAAGTTAGGATTAGATAAGGTAGGAAAGGTATGCTAATGACAATGTATTTGGAAATCAGTAACAATTGACAAACACCTTTCTTACTTAAGCAGTCTATCCAAGCTGATCACAGAAACAGTACATTCCCCAACGACCACAGGACAGTAAATACCAATACTTGTACCAAGTAAATACCAAGTTATGACAGGTTTATTAAACCGGAATTAAAAACCCTTTCTTGCACTTGAAAATGTTGCTTTACAAACCAATTTAATCTCAAGAAGCTTTAAGGCTCCTTGCACACAGGCATCAAACCCACGCAGCACGACACCCGGTACACGTGTTCTGCTTTGACAGCCATCAGTGGTGCAGGCAAACATCTCTCATAAAACACAAACATCAAGCTAGCATTGGATTCACCTCAGTGGACACAGGGATGCAGTTTATGCTTGCTTAGGATTATCCCGGTAAGGACTTGCCCCATGGAGGTGGACAGAGGTCCTGATAAAAGGAATTTGCAATATATGATAAAGTGGTCAGCATCATAGTGTGCATTAACCACTTGCTGTCTGGGGCAATTCTGACATTTCTCATATAAATTTATTACAGGTACTTATATAGTGCCGTCAATTTACGCAGCGCTTTTATACATATATATTGTACAATCACAGCAGTCCCTAACCCTCAAGGGGCGTACAATCCAAGGTCCCTAACCCTCAAGGGGCACACAATCCAAGGTCCCTAACCCTCAAGGGGCGTACAATCCAAGGTCCCTAACCTTCAAGGGGCGTACAATCCAAGGTCCCTAACCCTCAAGGGGCTACAATCCAAGGTCCCTAACCCTCAAGGGGCATACAATCCAAGGTCCCTAACCCTCAAGGGGCGTACAATCCAAGGTCCCTAACCCTCAAGGGGCACACAATCCAAGGTCCCTAACCCTCAAGGGGCATACAATCCAAGGTCCCTAACCCTCAAGGGGCATACAATCCAAGGTCCCTAACCCTCAAGGGGCGTACAATCCAAGGTCCCTAACCCTCAAGGGGCGTACAATCCAAGGTCCCTAACCCTCAAGGGGCGTACAATCCAAGGTCCCTAACCCTCAAGGGGCGTACAATCCAAGGTCCCTAACCCTCAAGGGGCGTACAATCCAAGGTCCCTAACCCTCAAGGGGCGTACGATCTAAGGTCCCTAACCCTCAAGGGGTGTACAATCTAAGGTCCCTAACTCATATTCATACATACACATACTAGGGCCAATTTAGACAGGAGCCAATTAACCTACCAGCATGTCTTTGGAATGTGATAGGAAACTGATGTTCCCAGAGGAACACCACGCAGGCATCGGGGGAACCTGCAAACTTCCAGGCAGGTAGTGTCAAGGTTGGGATTCGAACTCATGACCCTAGTGCTGCTAGATGGAAGTGCTAACCACTTAGTCACTTTTTTTGCTTGAAAATTATTAGAACCCCTAAAACAATTTTGTGAAAGCAAAGGCCCTGGAGAATAAAATGGCAGTTGTTGCAATCTGTCGTGTTACACAGTATTTGCGCAGCCATTTATCAAATACACAGCTTCAGGGAAAAATATGCTTCAATGAATTTTAGTGCAAACATAATAGAATAACAATTTTTTTGTAAAATATAAAAGACGATATAGCGTCAAGTAAATCGATACAAAAACATGTCAAGGACAAGGGCAGGTCGTAGTGGCTCAACTCAACATCCCAGAAAAGTGAAATGTAGGACGATATAGAGTGGGTGGATGGGTAGGATATTCTTCTTGCTTTGGATGAGATGTTGGGAAAGAATGCAGAGTGGGGGGGGTGTTGAGGGGGAAAAGGGGGAGAAGTTTTAAGAGGGAAAAAAAAAAAAAAATATTTTATGTGTATTTATTATGAATATGATGAAAGTGTTTGTTATTTTTGAAAAATTAATAAATATTTAAATACAAAAAAAAACTCAACATCACAGGGGCCACCAGGACAGCACATAAGAATACACTTTTATGGACATTGACATGTGGTTTTAGTAATGTTTTATCAATAAAATGGGAGGTTCAAATGTATCATTTGACTTTTTGTAACGGTTTTCATTGGGACTTTCCCTCGTGAACTCATAGGTCCAGGTGAGACAGGGTAGTTGTTTCTTCCCAATTCAAAGAATGCATTATCATAGCAATTACATTTGTTCTCTGGTGGCACTGACGTACTCTCCTGGCTACACCTAGTGTTGTATGCCCTTTGTTCTAAAGTTCATATCATGCACATTCCTTGGACTCCATGTGTTTTTTTTTCTGGGACTTTTACTCTTTTGTTCAACAATCAACTCGTCTGATTATATAGGGAAGGGTTTCTCAGCCTTCTCTCAGTCAAGGCACCTTTTTAAAATGTACAGTCTCAAGGCACCCCATTCTAAAATGTAAAAACTAAAACTAATAGTTTTACATATCACAGCAGCATCCACACACTCGAGTCACCCTCCACCATGAGGTGATTCATTCCTCCACCTTTGCAAACTGGTGCGAACTCCTTCACCTTTGCAAACTGGTGCGAACTCCTTCACCTTTGCAAACTGGTGCGAACTCCTTCACCTTTGCAAACTGGTGGAACTCCTTCACCTTTGCAAACTGGTGGGAACTCCTTCACCTTTGCAAACTGGTGCGAACTCCTTCACCTTTGCAAACTGGTGGGAACTCCTTCACCTTTGCAAACTGGTGGGAACTCCTTCACCTTTGCAAACTGGTGCGAACTCCTTCACCTTTGCAAATTGGTGCTAACTAGTGTTCCAGCGTTTTTCTTCTCCCTCACTGTGCTAACGTGACCCCACTGCTGATAGAGAGGTGCAAACAAGTATTCTGTGCAGGTGCTCGAAGACCTCTTAAACAATGGTGTCACTGGTTGTTAGGATGCCACTGGCTGGCCAGCAAAGTGCCCCCGGTTTTAATGCTGCATTAAAAAACCTGTGGCTGTGTGTAACAAAATGGCAGGCTTGATCCACCCCGCTAGCTTGTTCACAATATCTGGGCATTTTGCCAAGGCCCCCCTGAAGAACCCAGATTGCACCCTAGGGTGCCACCCTAGTGAAAAAAGGCCGATATAGACTATGTATACTTTCATTACATAAACCACATCACACACACTTTTAGCTTCTTCTGCATGACTTTCAAACAAAAGACTGTTAAAAACATAAATGTTCAGCTACAAGAATGAAAAGAGAACTGCCATATTTAGTGCTGTATCAGTTCTCTATTTGAAGTGATATTCCACTTTTTTTTAATGTCTTTATTAACTTTTCAGTTCATTTATGAACACGTCATTTAAAAAGGAACACAATTTAAAGAGAAGCAAGACAATTTAAAAAAAAGCAAAAAACAAAAAAAAAAAAAAAAACGTAGAGGGGGAAAAAAACGCACCTTTTTCACTTATCAGCTGTCGTGCAACTTCTTGTTGGAATTTTTCTAGACTTTCAGTGTCGTCTTTCATATGGAAAAGTATGAGAAAGGGAAGTCCTTCCTCTGTCAGCTCCTGTACAAAATAGTGTAAAAAAAAAAATGTTCAACATGAGTAACAACATAAGTGAAAACATTTCAAAAGCATTCATGGATTTACCACCTTCTCAATCAATCCTATCAATGTCCCTGAAAAAGTATGCATGTACAGAAGGCACACATTCATTTTTTTTTTTTTTTTTAAAACTGGTAGTTTTAGAATTTTTAACATGAATCAAAGGTCAAACACAGTCATTTGCCCAATATGAGTTGCAGGGGCAGGCGGGCAGAGATGTGTGCAAGGATTGTAACCCTTTGAAGTTGCAGCCTGCAGTGTAACCAAACTATATAGTGACAGAAAATATTGAACTGACCTTAACCATGGGGGGAGAATTCTTTATTCATTATACCTGCTAAATGTATATTATACCTATATTTAAATTACACCTGCTTAACTTTTCCCAGAACCAAAATGTGCAGTGTCTGGGAGGTGCAACCAGTACTTAAGACTTCACATTTAAATGTCCATAAAACCCATTTTTTCGTTTAACCGCTTCAATACCGGGCCACCTTCCTGCCCAGGCCAATTTTCAGCTTTCATCGTGGTCACACTTTGAATGACAATTGTGCGGTCATGCAGCACTGTACCCATAAAAAAAAAGTTCTTTTTTTCACACAAAAAGCTTTCTTTTGGTGATATTTAATCATCACTGATGTTTTTATTTTTTGCTAAATAAAAAAAAACCAGAAACTTTTGAAAAAAAAAACAAAAAAAAAAAAAACAACTCCTTCCTTCGTTTTTGTTATAAAATTTTGCAAATAAATAACGTCTTCATAAATTTAGGTCAAAATGTATTCTGCTACATTTCTTTGGTGAAATTAACCCAAATTAAATTGGTGTATATTATTTAGTCTGTAGGAACGTTATAGGAGTCAACAAACCATGAGGATAGATGGATGGATGGATGGATGGATATGGATGGATATCTATCTCTCTCTGACTATCAATGTACAATGACGACCAATCTCATTTTTTGAGGCCCGAAAACACCAGCATAGTACAAATACCTCCTAAATTACCCATTTTTGGAAAATAGAAAGTCCATGATATTTAGTAAGAGGCATTGTGAGTTTTTTGGAGGTTGTAATTTTTTGGAAAATGTAGAAATTTTTTTTTTTTTTTTTAACACATATCCATACACCAGTCCAGTACAGCATGAATATATAACTGGTGTGGCAGTGATCAGGGACACTGACTGGTGACAGTATGTAAAACAAAATTAAAATAATATTTTATTTCATTATTTTTTCCTTTTTTACCATTTGTTTTTTAAACACACTGTGACCAAAGCAATACAATCTCACCACAGTAACATTGAACTACTCTGGGCAAGTGATCAGGAATTTTTTTTTTTTTTTTTTTTACACATTATGATTGCTAATACCAATGCATTCCATTGATATTTGCAATCATTGTTACTGAATGAAACCGATTCAGTCAGTCTGTTGTTGCGATTAGCTGTGATTGGGCAAAGCTCATCACATGATACAGATGGGCTGATTGGCCCTGTCTGTACCATGTGACTGCTTTGATCAATCACAGCTAACGCCACAATTGTATACAATGAATGGCATAACAGGAAGTCATCCATTGTATACAATCGACGTGATCTGCTGTGATTGGTTGGTCACATGACACTGGCAACAGGCCGGTGTAGTGATATGTCATTGACTGTGTCCCGCGGACACAGCCGGTGACAGATCGCGCAGCTGAGTGGCCCCGCAGCCGCGTGAACGGCTACTTTTGACAGGACGTCATATATGACGCCCAGTCACAACGGCAAGTGTCCTGTCTGGCTGTCAATCTGTTTATAGGCCGGGCGGGAAGTTTTTAAGCTGAACTTGATGCAAACAGCAAAGTAAAAAAAAAAAAAAAAAAAACAAACAAAAAAAAAAAAAAAAACACCCACATAGAAATATATAGCTCAGAGCCAATTTACCTGCAGAAGAATTTTGCATTTCTATCCATGCTATCCAACCCTGAGATTTACACAGCTTTGCCACACTGAAAAGCCAGGTGGATGACGCCACAATTAAAGAAAAAAAAAAAAAATCACTGTTGACACTTTCATGCCCCAAGTAGCAGACTAATAGGGTCATCCTTCTGCTCTCTTCTTCTGTCAGATTACTGTTAAGAATAACTGCAAGCGGCATACCGGATTGGCTAGGATAGTGCAGCTGCTCCCTCTCCCATGTCCCACTGCATATGTAATTGCAAGCAGCGAATATCAAGTCAAATTCAGGTACTTGCATTAGCTGATTTTTTAAAAATGATAATTATGTATTTAAGAGTTTTAGTGATTGAAGTGCTTCTACAGTTATAAGGGTTTTTTTTTACCTTCACAAATTCTTTGCATTAAAGTAGGGGGAAAAAAAAAAAAAAAAAAAACACACCTTTCAGCAGCTGTTTCTCCTCCTCACCCCCTTTATACTTACCCGAGTCATGTATGGATCCAGCACTGTTTGCTCGACTGCACTTCTCTCCCTCACAGGATGAGAGAAGTGGGAACCACTGGGAGAGGGAGGGAGTGGGGTCCTGGAACGGAGTCACACTTTTGTGAGTCAATGGACACACACAGCCTGGCTCAGAAGCCCTGCATGTGTGCTACCAATAGGAAGCGCCTTCCTATGTTGGCACACACAGAAGAGGAAAAACCTAGAGCACCAGCAGCGGACCCAAGAAGAGGAGGTTTGAGGCTACTCGGTGTAATACCATTGCACAGAGCAGGTAAGTAGAACATGTTTTTTTATTTTAGGATACAAAAAAAAAAAAAAAAAATGAAACTTTAAAATCACACTAAATACCTGCCTGGAGTTCAGCTACAACAGTTTTACAAATTGATTTAAAAGGAATGAGAAAATAGACACTTACTTCTCCATTTTCAAATGTTATTTCTCGCACAAGTGGTACACATTTATCTTGAGTCCAAGCATAGGCAAGGTCAGAGTTGGCAAGTGAACCCAAATAAACCATATCAGGAGCATTTTCCTGCAACAAGGAATTATTTCCATACAGTAAGTTGTTCTATTAAAAGATTCAAACATTCTTAGAAAAAGAATAAAAATATCCTATTTTTTAGGTTTGAGGCAACAACTGGAACAATGTTGCTCAAACTCTTCTTCAGGATGGAAGTATTTTTGTTAGAAAAAAAAATTATATATATATATATATATATATATATATATATATATATATATATATATATATATATTCTTGTTTTATATTTTATTGAAAAGTAATCCCTGGTGGCTTGTTAACATAAACTAATAAAAACACTGCATTTTCAAGATCCAGTGAGATAAACTATGTTTTTGGTTCAGAGATTTCAGTAAAAAAAAAAAAAAAAAATTATATATAACATTGCCTAAAGGACATAGAAGGCTTTATTTGGTATAATGTTGCAATAAATAACTCTGCTCGTGTTTATTATTGAAGGCTGACAACATGAAAAAAAAAATTCACACCTACAAAATTCACCCTGCCCCCTATTAGATAAGAGAACCCCAGCATGGATTCATGTGATTAGCTACGATAGCAATGGGAGGCTGCTGGATCTTACAATCAGATGTAGACATGTAACCTCTCATACAGAGATTGGCCCTGGATGCAGGCAGTCTGTGTCCAGATCCGATCACTCACATGTGATCTCTGCATGATAGGTTACATGAAAGTGTCTGCAACTGGCTGCGAGAGCTTTCAATGGGGTTGCCTCTCACAGATAATTGCAAGACCCCTGGCTGGGGTTCTCATAGCTAATCGGAGACAAGGTGCAATTACAGGTGGTGTGACAGCACCCTATTGTACTAAAGCAGGCATGTCCAAAGTCCGGCCCGCGGGCCATTTACGGCCCGGGGGTTGGTTTAATACGGCCCTCCAACAGCCCTCCCTGCTCTGTGTAATGTGGCCCTCCCACGGCCCTCCCTTCTATGGCAGACAGTCTTCTGCTTGAGAGCAGAGGGCAGTGCGCATGCCTGACTGCGGCGCGTTCTCCCTGGTCTGTGTAAATGCGGCTGTCGCACGGCCCTCCCTTCTGTGGCAGACCGTCTTCTGCTTGAGAGCAGTGCGCATGCGTGACTGCGCCGCGCTGGGAGCGACAGAGGGCGGTGACGTCAGGGCCGGGCTTCCAGCGTGAAGTGTGTTTCTCTTCCCCTCCCGGCTGCCGAGCAGAGACTTCAGCTCCAGCTACCTTTTTCACCCTTCACATTAGTGCAGGTAAGTTTTTTTTTAAATTTATTTTCAATACATTGTGAAAACTCAGCTGTCAGTTGATCTTAATGTTATGAAATGAAAAGTATGTCGTTTGCAATTAACTTGGCATAAAATAATTTATTTGCATTTAATTGTAATGGTTCAAAGAATGTTCGGAAAAATGTTCGGCCCTCCACCATGTTCACTTCATCCAATCTGGCCCTCTTTGAAAAAAGTTTGGACACCCCTGTACTAAAGTATAACTATAGGCAAACCTTTTTTAGTTTTGGACAGACTAGAGAACAATTCGAACACCTGTCAGGTTCTTATTGCTGTCTGTGCCCCCGGTTAGGGAGATTCACCCTCTCTAGTTGGCTTGTTTACCATTATCAACAAAAGTGCAAAATAATCTGGAATTTTGGGCTGTCTCCAGAACAGGAATCGTAGGTATATCTTCAAATGGGGGCACTAGTTCTGGTGAAAACCAGGGATTCCCTCAATTCAGAGGGATGGTCTCTCGCTTCCTATTTTGGCTTTGGAACAAAAAAGTGAAAGTAAACCTCCTAAAATGGGACACATGGCAAAAATAAGCCATACAGGAAATATAAACCCCTCTTACTCTATCCAAAATGACCTTTAACCACTTGCCCTCCTGAGGATTTACCCCCCTTAATGACCAGGCCTCTTTTTGCTACTCAGCGCTGCACTAATTCAACTGATAATTGCGCGGTCATGCAATGCTGCTTCCAAACGAAATTTACGTCCTTTTTTTCGCACAAATAGAGCTTTCTTTCGGTGGTATTTGATCACCTGTGCGCTTTTTATTTTTCACGCTATAAACAAAAAAAGACCAAAAATTTTTTGAAAAAAATATATATTTGTTACTTTCAGCTATAAAAAATATATAGTAAACTCAAAGTTAGTTATAAATTTAGACCAAAATGTATTCTGCTCCATGTTTTTGGTAAAAAAAAAATACCAATAAGTGTATATTGATTGCTTTGTGTGAAAGTTATAGCGTCTACAAACTATGGTATAGATACTGCAATTTACGCCATTTTTTTGCTATACAGCGCTGCGCTAGTTTAATGGACAATTGCGCGGTCATGCAATACGGTACATAAATGAAATATACATCCTTTTTTTCCCACAAATTGAGCTTTCTTTTGGTGGTATTTGATCGCCTGTGCGGTTTTTATTTTTTGCGCTATAAAAAAAAAAGGCTGACAATTTTGAGGAAAAAAAACAATATTTTGGACTTTTTGCTATAAAACATGTCCAGTAAAAAAAAATTTAAAAATCAAATTTAGTCATAAATTTCTGCCAAAATGCATTCTGCGACATGTCTTTGCTACAAAAAATCCCAATACATGTAAATTAATTGGTTTACGTGAAAGTCATAGCATTTACAAATGGCGGGAAAGATACTGGGATTTTTAAAATTTTTTTTATACTAATAATGGCGGCGATCAGTGACTTATGGCGGGACTGCGGCGGACATTGACACTGGGGGGGGAACTGACTTGGGGTCACTGACATCCCCAGTGACACCAATACAGTGATCAGTGCAAAAAAAAAAAAAAACACTGACACTGTACTAATGGCACTGGGGAGGAAGGGGTTAACTTTATTATTCAGTGAAAGGGTTAACTGTGTGAGGGGAGTGTTTTACTAGGGGGCGGGGGTGTGTACTGCAGGGAACGTACTGCAGGGAACACACTGATCGGGACAGATAAACTCTTCTGTCCCGATCAGCGTGTCAGGAGCTGTCAGGGAACGGACAGAAAGCACAGCTAATGCAGCTGTGCTCTCTGTCACTGATTGCCGCTAATCGTCGGGGACATAGCCGGTAACGACCGGATTGTGACCCGGCGACTGACATCCGCGGCCGTGATCGGCAGGACAGGCAGGGCGGCGGCGCGCCTTCTACCGGTTTTAAAAACACACATTTTAAAACGTGGTTTTGCCCAGCCCTGCCGCCCTGTCGCCGTATTTGTATAGTGGCTGGGTGGCATGTGGTTAATTCTGCTTTAATCCTTACCTTCCTTGGGGTATGAATGCAGTAGCTCAAGATGAAATTTACACAAGTGAATGAATCAAAACAGCGACTCTTTATTATTAATTCTTGCTCTGCTTGTCAAATTTTCAATCAGAGCCAAGCTTTCAATCTGACCTTGTGGTCAAGGAAATCAATGTCAGCTATATTTTCTTTTTAGAAAGCCTATAGTGCTTCAAGAGTACCTGGTAAAAATACATCCAAAACATCAGTTTGCAAAAATTGACTGAAGACAACAGACAGCTTTCACATCTTCTGTTTGATGAATGATCCTGCCTGTCTATGGCCAACTTCAATGGCTTAATGTTTAACCAAGTCACCTTTTACCATCTAAATGTACAAGATTTATATACATCTTAGAAAATGTATCAAGTAATCAACAGTGTCAACTTCTGAATAACATTCTTAAAACCAGCAAATATAATTGCTCAGAACAAACTTACCCCATTAGGCCTGTAAATTACATTATCTCCACTAAATCGCTCAGGTTTTGAAATTTCCCTACAAAAAAAAAAAAAAAAAAAAAGTTATACAGGGCTAGCTACAGAATTAAAAGGACAATCTTAACAGACTAGAAATAGATGAATCATTCTATGCGGTCAACTAAACAAATGAGAGACGATGCTTACCCAAATGCAGAAAGAAAGACACAGTCATCATGTAAAATGTTTGCCACTTTTGCAAATGTTCGGAAGTTGTCAGACTCTTTTGATTCAAAAAATCCAATTATTGTTCTTTTACTGCGCTACAATGGCAAAATATGAAAAAAATGTGTTAGTGAATAGCTATTTCTTTAATGTGTTTGCTCTGTTTTTTAAACATTAAAGTGATACTAAACCCAGGACCCTACATTCACTGTATCTGGTCTCCCACAGTACACAGAACATGAAAATGCAACTATTTTAGTAAATATAAACTACTAAATACCTTTACTCATCTGCAATATATAGCAGTCTTGTGACTTCTCTCAGTATCCAGCAGAGCACTGGTTAAAGCTTATAGGAGAAGTCTTCAATCTCCTCTGATTGTCCTATGAGGCCACATGACCCCTGACCCTCTGTCTGGACAGTGCTGATTGGCTTTGTGCTGATCAGATGCACACAAACCCCCCAAAAGAAGAAAACCCAAAACTTTATAGCACTACACAACAAACTGAGCATGTGCAGAGTGCCTCCAGGGGCTTTGTACTATCAGCAGATGGACTAGGGAGTGTTGAAGAAGGGGAGGATCAGAGAAGATAGGATCCAACAGCCTTTCTTAAATAATGCAGATAATTAACCCCTTAGGTTCTGTAGTGAGTATAACAAGCATGCTTTGCTGCGTATACAGACTGATTTTACTGCTGTGGATTTGTAACACTTTAAACACATCTTTTAAAAAAAACCTAGATGAGAGTCAGCTTAACTCATTCTAAGTGCACAATAATGAAGCATGATGTGTTTAACAGCATGAAAAACGTAACTAGTAGTGTTTTTATTCATATTTACATGCCTGATGACAGTGTGAAAATTGTAAATTAACACAGTGACTGGAAGAGAGCTGCCCTTCCTAACAGCAAAACCTGTACCTATAGGCTATATGGAACCAGAGGGCAATTTTCAGGGATCTGTTCATTTGTCACGGTAAGCCACACCTACCTCAATGGCTGCTTCAGCCAATGGTCACAACAACATGACCATTACAAATAGAGCTGATGCCATTCATTGAACTGTGATTAAAAACCTGCCACATGATTTGTTTTGGTTTTTTTTTTGCATTGCTCATGTATATAAAACTGTATAAAATTGATGTGCACTTCCGGAAAATCTATATATATTTGTATTTCTGCATCAGAAACTGCAGAATTGTTAAAGTCTAAAATTAACAATATTTATTAAAGAGAATGCTAAAAACACACAAACACACACACAAATAGCTTGTGAATGTACACTATATTGCTAAAAGTTTTGGGATGCCTGCCTTTATAAACACATGAGCTTTAATGGAATCCCAGTCTTAGTAGTCTTCAATTTTGAGTTGGCCCATCCTTTGTCAGCTATAACAGCTTCATTTCTTCTTGGGAAGGCGGCCCACAAGGTTTAGGAGGGTGTCTATGGGAATGTTTGACCATTCTTGTGGGTTGTGAGGTCAGGCATTGATGTTTGGCGAGAAGGCCTGGCTTGCAGTCTCCACTCTAATTCATCCCAAAAGGTGTTCTGATGGGTTGAGGACAAGAATCTGTGCAGGCCAGTCAAGTTTCTCCACCCCAAACTCACTCATCCATGTCTTTATGGACCTTGCTTTGTGCACTGGTGCGCAGTCATGTTGGAACAGGAAGGAGGCCATCCCCAAACTGTTCCCACAAAGTTGGGAACATTAAATGGTCCAAAATGTTTTGGTATGCGGACGCCTTAGGAGTTCCCTTCACAGAAACAAAGGCCAACCCCTGAAAAACAACCCCACTCCACCAAACATTACACTTGGCACAATGCAGTCATGCAAGTACCGCTTTTCTGGAAACCATCAAACTCAGACACGTCCATCGGATTGCCAGACAGAAAAGCGTGTCACTCCTGAGAACGTCTCCACTGCTCTAGAGTTCTGTGGCGGCGAGCTTACACTACTGCATCTGACGCATTGCACTTGGTGGTGTAAGGCTTGTATTCAGCTGCTCGGCCATGGAAACCCATTCCATGAAGCTCTCTATGCATTGTTGTTGTATTAATATGAAAGCCACATGAAGTTTGGAGGTTTTTAGCTATTGACTCTGCTGGCAGTTGGCGACTTCTGCACACTATGTGATCCAGCATGCGCTGACCCCATTCTGGCCTACCACTTCTTGGCTGAGTTGCTGTTGTTCCCAGTTGCTTCCACTTTGTTATAATACCAACAACAGTTGACCGTGGAATATTTAGTAGCCAGGAAATGTCACGGATGGACTTATTGCACAGGTGGCAACCTATCACAATACCACGCTTGATATCACTGAGCTCCTGAGAGTGACCCATTCTTTTACAAATGTTTGTAGAAGCCGTCTGCACGACTAGGTGCTTGATTGTATACACCTGTGTCCATGGAGGTGATTCGAACACCTGAATCCAATGATTTGGAGGGGTGTCCTGATACTTTTGTTAATATAGTGTATATATCTTCACTTCTTCCTTCAATGAAAAGTCCACCACACCAAGTGAGAAACCTGCTCTCCTCAGCTATATTAATAGAAGCTCATCTGGACTATCTGAACCATACAACTCCTCTGGTCCTTGACCCCACTTTTTCTCCTGGCAACTTCAACCTTCCTCTGTAGGCCTACTGAGGAAGGCCTTATCGGAGGGTGCAATGTGTCAAGGGAGGAGGAGCCGAGCCCGTGACGAGCCCCCTAGCTAGCTGAGTGGTGAGCAGGTGAAGGATTGGTTTTATTTATAAGTGCTATATACAGTGCTCAGCATAAATGTGTACACCCCTTTTGAAAAGTAAAATTTGAATTTGTTAGGAAAAATACTTTGTGGGTGCGCAAGTTAACAAATCTTGTTTGCAATCAATGTCCATATTTGTGGGAGTAATTTGTAGTACAGTGTCCCAAAGAAAATGTTGACACTGAAAGGAAAGGTTTTCTGACAAATCTGTTGGGGTGTACTCATTTATGCTGAGCACTGTATATTGTCTTGTAGGTGCAATTTTAATGGTGGGGATTCAATATATTTTATATGGAGAGCCTTTCTATTGCATGGTACTTATGCCTATTGGTCTCTGAGTGCAAGCTACAGAGGAAGTTGGAAGTTGCCAGGAGGAGAAGCGGGGTCCGGGAACAGAGGAGTTGTATGGTTCAGACAGTCTAGATGAGCTTGTAAAAATATCTGAGGTGAGCAGGTTTTTCACCTGGTGCGGTGGAGGTGCATTTTTGAAGGATGAAGTGAAGATATATACATTCACAAGCTATTTGTTTTATTAGAGCATCCACAGGGTTTCTGTCACGGTCTCCCCTTCTGTCTCCGCTCTCCTTTATCCTCCCCCATCGCTCTCCTTTATCCTCCCCCCTTCCTTCCCCTTACAGGTCCCTATGTCCGGCACAAGCCTACATCAAAGGCTGTGCCAGATGTCAGAGATCTGCCCCCTGCGGTGCGGTTCGCACCTCTCCTGGGCCAGACACAGAAGAGTCTGACACCCCGCTGTGCATGCACTTGGATTTTCCAGGTGCTGGCCACCTGGGTGTCTCTGCGCGCCCCCCCTCCCCTTGCCCCGGCGGGCACAGCGCGGCCCCGAGTTTCCCGCGCAAAGGCCATGCTCCCTGTGCGTGGCCGGAATGAGGGGGCGGGGCTTGTTGCCTCGGAAACCCGACGCCGGGCTGGCCGTTGCCGGGGCAACCCGGAAGCGCCCTGCTACGGCGATAAAAGACCAGAGCAGGACCCGGGTAGGGAGTTCGACCCCCGCTCGGGACAGGGTGCTGTGTGAGGTCTAAGCTGAGGCCGGACCCCACAGCCAAGACCCTGCAAGCCTGTTGGTCCCCTGCTTGAGGGAAGCATTGTGTGGGGTCTGAGCTGAGGCCAGACCCCACAGCCAGGACCCCGTTGAGTCCCAGTGAGCCTGTCTGCTGATCGCTGGTTGTCCCTGGAAGGCTGAGTACCGCGAGGGTCCCTGTCTGCTGATCACGGGTTGTCCCGGGAAGGCCGAGTACCGCGAGAGTCCCTGTCTGCTGATCGCTGGTTGTCCCTGGAAGGCTGAGTACCGTGAGGGTCCCTGTCTGCTGATCGCTGGTTGTTCCGGGAAAGCTGAGTACCGTGAGGGTCCCTCTCTGCTGATCGCTGGTTGTCCCGGGAAAGCTTAGTACCATGAGGTTCCTTGTCTGCTGATCGCTGGTTGTCCCTGGAAAGCCGATCTGTAATGGTTCAACTCCACACACTGATCAGCTCCAAGGTATAGGAAGTGAACCTATACCTAGCAGCTGATCTGTGTGTGGCATTGAACCACTACGGATGCTTACAATCACAGGTTTACACTTTTAGGATCAGGTCATTATGGACTTTTACTGATCAACTATACAAGAATGGCCAGTTAAAAAAAAAAAAAAAAAAACAGGATGTGACTAATTTTTGTGCTAAAGAATTTACGCAGTCTTTATTGGGCGTTAAAGCTTTGCCAATAGACAAGTATGCGTGGAATGTGAAATTCCTATCAGGATAAGCAATTTATGCTAAGGTTTTGCACCTAATAGCCATCTGTGGTTTGTCAAGCAAATGAAACCTAAATTATTAGCTTATAATTGCCATATCTGCCAGTTCTACAGGTAAATAAGACTGTTAATGAGCTGAGAATTTGAAAAATTTTCTGCGGCTGACAAAATGTTGTAAATTAGGTTTCTTATCAAGTTAATGACAACATACTCACATCAATTGTTTTTAACTCCTCTAAGCTTTCAACTGTTCGGATTGGATCACTTTTTTGTTGCCTGATGTAGTCTGCGATTGCTGTCACAGAACGCTGACCTCTATACTCTCTCTTCATCATCATTCCATTTCTGAATAGCTTTAATGTGGGGTATTTGCTTATTCTATATCTTTGCGCAATATCCGCTAAAAGAGGAGGAAAATTCAATTAGGAAAAATAGAAGACATTTTGTAACAAAAAAGCACATATACACAGGATTTTGCATTAGCAATTTGCACATACATTTAGCTTACGGCTTCTTTCACACCAGATGCAGTGGACTGGCCTTAGAAAGTGCTTCTAGTCATTTATCCACACTATGATGTCCTCTACAGGGACATAGTCTTGATCCAACAGTCACAGGGTGTCAGGAAGGGGTTCACCTGCTGGTGGCACTGTGGCTCCCAAACCTATAGGCTGCAGTTCTGGGGTAAAAGCCTAGCACCAAAATATAAATTTCATATACAGTGATAGATCTCCTAGCTTTTAAAATTATGAGAACTGATTCATACATATCCATACCCTAGCACCTGGGTTTAAACAGCCACCATTAAAGCCAGTGATCATGAAGCAGAATGGTAACTTGGTCCTTCAGAAAGAAGAGCCATGACTATCTTGGAAGAACCCACAGAGCACCTGCATGGAGTCTCCAGAATCACCGGAACGCCCTCCATCTTGGTCTTGCAAAGTAAGAGGAGAAAGTGTTTCAGGAGAGTCAGAAACTAGGCAAGAGTATACTGATTCCACGGAGCCATCAGAACAACTACTGCTGTCGCTAGATGATACCTGTATCTGGAGACAACCCTGTCCATTTCTTTGTTAAACACTGAGGCTAGGAGTTCCATATCTAACACCTGCGACACAGGTCCTGGAACATTTCCCGGTGTAGGAACCAGTTCTCTGGGTCAAGACTCTACCAGCTGAGGAAGTCTGTCTGCCAACTCTCCATGATGATTCAGGTATGCCACTGTTGACATATTGTCTGACAGAATTTGGACTTCTTTTTCCTTCAATCCAGTCTGCAAAGGCCTTCAAGGCCTGACCTACTGCCAACAGCTCTCTGCAATTGGAGGAGGTCCCCTTTTGCCGTGGATCCCATGGGACTTAGGCTTTTTGGTCCTCTAGATAAGCCCCGCAGCCCCATTTGCTTGCGTCCGTGGTTATCTGAACTAGGTCCCACTGCACCCACGGTCTCCCTTCCCCCAGATTCTGGGGCCTGAGCCACCATCCTAGCGAGGTCTTTACACTCTCCGGGAGGGAAACCCTCTCGTCCAGCGACTCCTCTTTCCTGTTCCAGGAGGATAGAAGGAAGAATTGAACCTCCCTGGAATGTAATTGTGCCCACTCCATGGCCAAAATGCAGGCTGTCATGAGACCATAGAACTCTCATGATGTGCCTCTGGGAGCAATCTGAAACCGCTACCAATGTGGAGACCGTCCTTACTACCATTTCGGTCTTCTCTTGGGGTAAAAAAAAAGAAAGAATTCAATTTATTGATCCGTACAAACACTAAACTAGTAATGGCGGTGATCAGTGGCCTATAGCGTGAGTGAGATAGTGTGCGGGCAATCTAACGCTAGCTGACCCTGACGCTATCTGATGTTGCTAGTGGCAGGAATACAGTGATCAGTGAAAAATTTGATATACTGACACTGTACTAAATAGCACTGGCTGGGTGACGGTTTATCAAAGGGTTAATAGGGGCGATCAAAGGGTTAAATGTGCTAATCTAATGCATGCGTGTAAAATGCAGTGGGGTGCTTTTACTCGGTGCCGTGTTCTCTCTCCTCTCCCTGGACCGAAGAGTGGGGGGGGGGGCCGCAGGTGCGTTCACACCCCAAAATAGGAAGCGACACATGATTACGTTGCTTTGCCAAGGGGGGGGGGGGGGTGATCAGAGCTCCCTTGTGTTCGTACAGCCAGTCTGACATACAGGTACATCACTTTGCCTGTAGCTGCCGCCCGGCCACAATACATTGTGGGCAGGCGGGATATGGTTATCGGACCGAGTACTAGGAGAATCAGTTTAATCCTCTAGCTTAAGTGGTGGATATTGTGACAGATGACCGACTCCTCAGGTGCAAGTTGTCTGGAAGGGATTGGAGTGACTCAGAATCAGACAGACAGTCTCAGCGACTGACGGCTGGGAAGCAACGGGAAGATCTGGTAGAGGTGACCATGTCCAACAGAGCTAGGGACGACTCTAAACTTGGCAATACACTAGTAAAAATATAAATCAGAAATTTTTCATTTTAAGAACATTCGTTCAATAGGGCCATAGTCACAGCATACCACATATAGTTACAGAAATCTGAATGGAAACCATAGAATAACAATGGTCAAATTCTTATATGTGGTTATGATATAGTGTGCCACTGCAGTAAACTGCTGGGATGTGAACAGGCCTTTGAAGAAATTATGTACAACTGATGATCTCTTCATGTGCTAGGGTAGGAGGATTGGTGAGTGTTTCATGTGTTGGGTACTTGAACTGTCCCAATAGAAGGACTTACAGCATTTGCATATAAAGCATAAACAAGATAGTTTTGCCAGCTTTAAATTAACAGAACACACTTACAATGCTGATCACAATCCACTCTTGCAAAGACAACTTTACTTCTATCAGGAAATTCATCTTTAATTATGTTGGAAGCTTCTTCAAATATAGGGTGTAGCATTTGACTGAATCTGCACCTGCCGAAAAAAAAGTTTCCGTCAAGTTTAAATGTGGCGTATAGTCAACATATAAACAAAAAAAATAAAAATGACTAGTTAGACTTGGTTGTACATGAAATGTGTAAAGAAGCTAGACATTATTAGGCAGTTATCTGAAAACTACTGTATATTTATAGGCTTTAAAACAATGCCATGTTGTAAGATATTTTTTAATCTCACACCAAACACTATGCTTCAAATTTGCCGATATAATACGAGAAACACAAACTTGAAAATAACTGCAAAAAACAAGTGTCAACAAAACTATCAAATACCGTATTTTTTGCTCCATAAGACGCACTTTTTTCCCCCCAAAAAAGCGGGGAAAATGTCAGTGCGTCTTATGGAGCGAATGTAAAGTGGCCGGTCCGGTATTTCTGCCGCCACCATGTCAGAATACCGGGCCGGCCGCTGCTTAGCTCTTCTCTCCTGCAGGACCTTACCTGTTCCTCGCTCCAGCGCTGCAGTCTTCCCGCGGCGGCTTCTGTGACAGCCGGGTGCCCACTGCGCATGCGCGAGAAGCACCGCGCTTTGTGAATAGTCCGGTGTCTTCTGGGACACATGGCAGGTCCCAGAAGGCTCCGGGACATTCACAAAGCGCGGTGCTTCTCGCACATGCGCAGTGGGCACCCGGCTGTCACAGAAGCCACCGCGGGAAGAGGAGGAAGGACAACTCCGCAGAAGTGGGAGCGGGTACCTGTCAAATTCAGGTACCCGTTCCCCCTCCCTCCCCAAAGGTCCGCAGTCTGATAATCCCCTGCACTGTCTGCAGTCTCTGGTCTTCTGTACTATGTCCGCAGTCTCTGGTCATTCCCTGTACTGTGTCCGCAGTCTCTGGCCAGTCCCCTACTGTGTCCGCAGTCCCTGGCCATCCCCTGTACTGTGTCCGCAGTCCCTGGCCATCCCCTGTACTGTGTCCGCAGTCCCTGGCCATCCCCTGTACTGTGTCCGCAGTCCCTGGCCATCCCCTGTACTGTGTCCGCAGTCCCTGGCCATCCCCTGTACTGTGTCCGCAGTCCCTGGCCATCCCCTGTACTGTCCGCAGTCCGCATCCCCTGTACCGTGTCCGCCAGTCCCTGGCCATCCCCTGTACTGTGTCCGCAGTCCCTGGCCATCCCCCCTGTCCGCAGTCCCTGGTCATCCCCTGTACCGTGTCCGCAGTCTCTGGTCATTCCATGTACCGTGCCCGCAGTCTCTGGCCATCCCCTGTACCGTGTCCGCACTCTCTGGTCATCCCCTGTACTGTGTCCGCACTCTCTGGTCATCCCCTGTACTGTGTCCGCACTCTCTGGTCATCCCCTGTACTGTGTCCGCAGTCTCTGGTCATCCCCTGTACTGTGTCCGCAGTCTCTGGTCATCCCCTGTACTGTGTCCGCAGTCTCTGGTCATCCCCGTACTGTGTCCGCAGTCTCTGGTCATCCCCTGTACTGTGTCCGCAGTCTCTGGTCATCCCCTGTACTGTGTCCGCAGTCTCTGGTCATCCCCTGTACTGTGTCTGCAGTCCATTGGTTCAGAATATTTTTTTTCTTGTTTTTTTCTCCTCTAAAACCTAGGTGCATCTTATGGTCAGGTGCGTCTTATGGAGCAAAAAATACGGTACTTTAAGCTCAAGTAAAGTGACAAAGACAGATACAGCAGGTAAAATAAGTATTGAACACGTCACAATTTTACTTGGTAAATATATTTCTAAAAGGTGCTAACAATATGAAATTATCACCACGTCAGTAACAACCCATGCAATCCATACAAAGACACCAAAACAAATAAGTTCACAAATTAAGTTTTGTGTAATAAAATGGAATGACACAGGGAAAAAAATATTGAACACATGAAGAAAAGGAGGTGCAAAAAAGGCATGGAAAGCCAAGCTGAAATCTATCAGCGATTAGAAAGCAATCCTGACCTTTGTCAGTGCAAATTAATATCTACTGGTTCAGTCTGAACTGAAGGCCTATAAAAAGGTGTTTCATTACCAAGGTGTCACACAAGAAACATCTCATGATGGGTAAAAGCAAAAGGGATCTCTCAAGACCTTTGCAAACTTATTGTTGAAAAACATACTGATGGCATGAAAAATGGTGATGTGTTCAATACTTACTTTACCCGCTGTGTATTCAGCAAGACAGATATTCAGACAACTTCCTTTTGATGTCAGACTTCTACCTTCCCTGTAAAATTATTTGTACAGAGTGCCTAACTAGGACACTGCAATCTAACGGGCAACAAGGTCTGAACACTCCAGACTGTCCTGGGGTACTCTAAATGACCTGGTCAGAAACACTGTTCTGTTTCTAGTGAACATCTATTAAAAATGAAGGATGCACCGACACAGATGCCGAAACCGAGTATTTTCACAAGTACTCGTGAAAATACTCCCTATACCAGAAACCAATACTTTGCTGTGCAATTTGCATCAATAAAAATTGCACTGCAAAGATTAGCATGCGATTTTAACAGGAATGCGATTCCTGTCCAAATCGCATGTGGTTTCCCCCCATTGCTTCTGTGTGAACCCAGGCTTGTCATAGCCTGAGTTCACAAAGGAGTGGTGTGGGAAACCTCCCTGCAGGAATCCCATGCTGCGCAGAGAGTGGGATAGTGGGGATGTATACTATGGAGGCAGATGCTCCATATTCTTAGCGGTAGGAGAGGAAAGAAAGTGGTGGGGATTTGAAATCCTCACCACTTTCTTTCTTCTCCTTGCAAAAATGACAGTTCGGTCTAGAGGGCTTTTGATTGGTCAGCACCGTCACATGGGCTGTCATCGCTGCAAGGAGAGGAGAGAAAGCCATGGGGATTTCAAATGCCCAGACCTGTGAAGCGGCTTTCTCGCCACTCCTTGCAGCGATGACAGTATGGTCTAGACAGCATCTTATTGGTCAGCACCGTCCATGTGATGGTGCTGACCAATCAAAAGGCCTCTATCCCGGACAGTCATCCCTGCAAAGAGAGGAAAGAAAGCGGCGGAGATTTCAAATCCCCGCCGCTTTCTCTCCTCTCCTACCACTGAGAATATAAGGCATCTGCCTCCACAGTATATATCCCCACTCTCCACTGCGGGAAACCTCCCTGCACCGTTCCTGTGTGAACTCAGGCTATGACAGCCTGGGTTCACACAGGAGCTGTGGGGAAACCGCATGTGATTTGGACAGGAATCGCATGCTATTCTTTGCACTGTAATTTGCATCCGTACATTTTGTATTGACACAAATTGCACTGCAAACTATCAGTAATTCGGATCGCCAAGTATCTGACCAAAATTGGATACAAATGGAGAAACAGAAAAAGGGCGCACAGACCTAGTGCATTATCGTTTAAAATAATTTATTGAAGAAACAAAACAGGTATCATACTCACAATGGACATATTAACACAGGCATGTCAAACTGAACAAGATGTATGATCCAAACAACATCTGAGTCCATACGTTGGAACCCTGGATGACCAACTGGCTAACGCGTTTCGAGGACACAACCTCTTCCTCAGTGTTGGCTCTGAGGAAGAGGTTGTGTTTTCGAAACGAGTTAGACAGTTGGTCATCCAGGGTTCCAACGTATGGACTCAGATGTTGTTTGGATCATACATCTTGTTCAGTTTGACATGCCTGTGTTAATATGTCCATTGTGAGTATGATACCTATTTTGTTTCTTCAATAAATTATTTTAAACGATAATGCACTAGGTCGGTGCGTCCTTTTTCTGTTTCTCCATTTGTATCCAGTGTATTTGGACCACCCCGGTCTGTTGAGGGCAGCAAGCAGTGCATATTCCAGAAAATTCCAGAACATTCCTATTGGGTCTACTGAGTCCTTTTCTAGCACAGTAGTAAAGTGTTTGTTGTGTTGGATTTGACCAAAATTATCGGTACTTGTACTCACAGATAAAACCGGTATCAGTGTATCCCTATTAAAAATCATAACATACTACTGCAAGAGATTTAAAGAAAGAAAAAAAAAAAAAAAAAAAAAAAAGTGTGACATATGCGCTCTTCCCCAATCCCCCTTAAAAGGTGATTAGGGGTGTATACATGCCACAGCACCAATTTAACCTCTTTATACAGCTGCCAAAAACGCAACCCATTCAAATGAATAAGATAGAGCTGCAAACATGTATAGTGCACACAGTTGTGAGGCATTTATAGGAGTGAATCATGCGGTGAGGAGGCGATATATCGCCTTCTCCCTGTCTGTCATATCTCTGAAAAACTGTTCATCACTGATTGTTTTTTTTAGAGGGGTTGTAGAGTCTGCAGCACATCTAAATTAGTCCTAAACTGGGCGTTCTCTCTAAAATTAAGGCACAGTTTGAATCACACATATATAAAAACTAGCAAAACAAAGTCTCAGACCGATGTTTTCATTCGCAGCAGAATATTCTTTGTAAACCTGTCACTTGAGGGGGTTGCAGGGAAGTGCTCCAAAGTAACATGGTACACCCAAAATAAGGGTGCAACATGTTACAAAAGGTGAACTTATCCTTTAAGGCACAGGTGTCAAGCACAAGGTCCGTGGGCCAAATCCAGCCCTCCAAGCCAATTCATGTGTCTCTTGCACCTCTCCTGCAGGTAACCCCTGGTCTCCGCCCCCACCTTGTCTCAGCAGTCGGTAGCAGAGAGGAGAACAGAACTCCTCTGCCAAATCCTGCACCTCTCAGTGCAGCTGCAGCACCCCCTCATCTCTGCCTCCCCTGGTCTCAGCATTCAGCAGATTCTGGTAACGGACTCCACTCCTCCTCTGGTCCTCCTCCAGACCCTGCACTTTCTGCTTTCCAGCTCTGCCCCCAAAGGGGGTGCACGGTGATGTTTGGGAGGGTGTGGGTTTCTTGATATCTGATGTAATGGGGGGGGGGGGGGGGGTGTTTTGGACATCTAGTCTTACAGATACAACTGGCCCTTTGAGGGCAACCATAATGCTGATAAGGCCCGTGATGAAAATGGAGTTTGACACCCCTGCTTTAAGGCAATAGTTACCGGTATCATTATAAATGATGATGTATGCTCAGTATGAGGGACTCGCTGTAACCAAAAAAGTTGTTTGTATAGGCAGCAACACATTTTTAACATTACAGAACAAGTTCAATAGAATGGGACTTACTATTGCTAACTAAACCATGATCTTGATAAATAATAGCCTTCAAAAGACTAATGTAACACTTCTTTTCAGGAAAGAATGTCTATACTGGGAAAGCTGGAAGCAGGAATCATAATTTTAGAAGACACTGATAAAGGGGACTCATTTCTTCAAATGATTTTACGTACATTTTTCAGGATCAGAAATTAAATACTTAAAACACTACAGAAATACACAGATGTAAAAATGTTTGAGATATAAATTAAACACATACCAGTCAGCATAAAAATTAACTAAAGCGACATCTGCATTACCTGGAACAAAAAAGGGAAAAACAAATAGCTTTTTATTTTATTAAATATGCAAGAGCTTATATTTCTCATCTTCTAGTTTCTTTTAAACAACCATCATCTAGAGCAGTGGTTCTCAACCTTCCTAATGCCGTGACCCTTTAATACAGTTCCTCATGTTGTGGTGACCCCCAACCATAAAATTATTTACCCAGTAATTATAATTCATGAGTGTCGTTTTACCTCCAATACTGCTGCTTTCAACACAGTAGCTGCTTTTAACAGAGTAGCTGCTTTCAACACAGCAGCTGCTTTCTACACAGTAGCTGCTCTTTACACATCGGAAATATGTGTTTTCTGATGGTCTTAGGGGACCCCTGTGAAAGGGTCGTTCGTTCGCGACCATCAGGTTGAGAACCACTGATCTAGAGGTATAGACACACACCTTATTTTACAGAATAGGGAGTCAAACAGTAGTGCATTCCATAAGGCAACACGCACATGAGTGCATTTGCCCATACAGCTTAAAAGACACTGCATATTACTGGTGTCCCAGATGTGCTAAAGCTGCGTATAGCAAACCATAGACATGAATGGGTGAAGGTGGCTGTAAGCAGCTATTTGCATTAAGTAGCGCAAACACACACACAGTGAGCAAATAGCTGCACGAAGCAGTGTACAGTCTTCCCCCATTCATGTCTATGGGTGGCTGTATGCAGCTCTAGGACATCTGGGAGACCAGAAATACACAGCGTCTTTTCACTGCATGGGCAAACCCTGTCAAACTCTTTATTTGTTCTGGTTTTGTCCGATACATACTGTACATCCTTGAAAGAATTTCATCCCTGTGCTGTCCGGTCTCTGGTCATCCCTGTGCTTATAGAAGCTTTATACGTTTGTTTGTTCCGAATTTTTTCTTTTTTTTCACTTCTTGTAATATCTGTTTCAAGTTCACATCCTTGAAAGAATTGGGTTATAGAAGCTTTATACGTTTGTTTTTTTTTGTAATTATCTGTTTCAAGTTCATTGGGGGACAAAAAGACTGTACAAGTATCTGAAATGTGGGCTATGCTGATGCCTACAGAAAATTTACACTGGCAGAACAAAAATATTAGTTCAGCCCCTGTATAACCCCCCCCTTCAACTACCATGCTATTTTGTGAGCAAGCAGTATATAAGGCCAATAACACAGAAGGGTGGGACTTGTGTCCCTCAGTGGGCTTCAATAAACATTTTAAAGTACAAAAATCATAATTTCTTTATCATACATTGAGGGACTGTAGTAAGTCTTGGATATGTGGAGTGGGGATTACACTGACACCAACGACCAACCAGGTATTCCAGATCGCGGCAAAAAAAATCCCAAAAAGGGGGAACTGAATGAACAAGGAGCCCGAACTAGAATAGTGGAAGATAAAAGAATCCTCCATCTTTAGAGAAAAAGATGGCTGAGCAGGAAAACTGCTAAAGAAGTCACCAGGTAAGACTAAGCCTGTCAGAAATCCAACCGCGGTAGCCTCTAGCACTCCACAGACCGGAATCCCCCAAGGCGCGGAATCTAAGCTCCGACCTGCTTGTTCACCAGAGCCCCTGATGGTGGGGATGGACTTGGAGCAGGCCGAGACCAGGTCGCGGCCCCTGGGTTCACCCAGCTGTGGTAGAGGCACCGTTGAAGGTATAGAGCGGTTAAGAGTCTGATGTGAGGAGGTAACTGAAGCAGCGTCGGGCAGGCTGGGTCGGTAACCGTGGTGGCAGTGTGGTACAGAATCAGCAGGCAGAGGGATAAACCAGTCACAAGCCGGGTTCATTAACAGGAGGTCAGAACGTATGGGGTTAAACAGGAGAATGGTCAGACAAAGCCAGGGATCAGAGCAGCAGACAGACAGCAAATCAGGATCAGGCAGGGTTGGCAACAAACAATCTACTCAGAGAAACTCAGGAACACAGATAAGACCATAGGCACTTGAGCATTGCAAGAGCCGGGTTTAAATAGCCCGCCCGGCTCCTGACAGGCACTCCTGGGTCCTAGTGCTTGCCCGGTGCCATCATTGGTGACAGGCGCGCCTGGGTCCTAGTGCCCGCCTGCCTGTACGTTTTGTCAGGATTCTACGCATGTGCAGATTCGATCGCCGCGGCGATCTTCCCATTCCCTGACAAAGCCTGTCAACCAAACCCCTAACGTTTTGCACAGGAAAGTCAGGACTGGTATGTTTATGAGAAAAGGTTGGGATTACAAACCAAATGTAATGGAAAGATCTTTGTAGCTACAGCTCTATAAGACCTAAAGCCTGGAACAACAGGCTGATCCCCTAGTTGCAGGGTAGAACGCACTGCATGAATCGGAGGATCAATTTCTTGAAATTATGAGCCATATGGGACTTGCTGAAAAACAAACTCTTCAGGACGACGCTGTGAAGGCTTTGAATGAGAGATAGTAGTAGGAACTTCAGGCCCACTTAAGGATGAAAGTACAGTAGCTGGTTTAGTGTGGTGGTCATTAGGAATTACCCTATAGTAGCAGGGAATACAAGGATCTATGATACAGGCATCAGTCCCTGCTGGGAAAACTGGGAAATTGCTGTTAGTTGTACGAGTATAGGTGGAGGCCACCTATTGTAACGGGCAGAGAACAATTAGATCCAAAGTGAGACAATGCCTTGTATACCCACAAAAAAAAACAGCTGACATTGACAAGGGTTGTAGGTAGGCAGTGGAACCAGACCATAGACTGGATAATTCTCAAGGTATCAAAGAAGCAGCAGCCATAATTATATAGTGCTGCTTTCAGGCTGTAAGATGAGAGAATGCAGAACATGTTGGAATAATACTCTGCCCTATGGAGTCTTTAACCATCACCATGCCAGCTGGCAATGGCAGGAAAAATTAAAGTGCACAAGTAGGGCAGCTCTTCAGGCCAACCAGTCTTACATAAGAAAACACCCTGTGTGTGAGTGTAGAGAGAATGTCATTAATGGGTTGAAACAAATTTCTGAAGCACAGAGAGAACCAGATTCAGATCTGAAGGCGTCACTGAGGAAACAGACAGGAGGAGCCACAAGGGAAACTCCATGTACAAACCGTATTGATCAAAAAGTGAGAGACAGAAAACAAACCTTAATAGTTCTGCTAGAGATCCTTAAAAGCAGGTGTATTCTTTCTATGGTAAGGTAGCCGCCTCGTTAAAATGGAACTGCACTGCATCTGAGCACCAAAAAAAAAAAAAAAAACCACATTCTATTTAATTCTTTGTTAATATCCAAACCAAACTTACACATACACCCATGTATCCATGCTTTAGATTGCTGAAAAATCATTTTGAAAAACACCCCCTAGCATTTCTGGCAGTAGCCATCTTGAGTAAGGGCAGATGATTCATGTAGCATTTACTTCCTGGAATCCATCTGCCCTTAGCTCAGGCATTAGCCAAGCTGAAAACCCTCCCTCCCCTCCTGAAGACTGCTGGGATGTATGAAATCATTTGCCTAGGCGTGAACACCAGGAAGTAACTGAAGAAATGTAAAACAAGTTAATATGATATACTTTCCGATCTATTTACTAATGCTAGCAAAAGGATTAAAAATAGTCCATGTTGACTGAGAGAGTGAAGTTCCACTCTAAGGTGAGACACAGCCAGATCCACAGTGGGAATGGACTATTTCTGAAGAAAATCCTCAAAAAAAAATGTATACATAGCAAGGAAAAGCTTGGGGGAGCTCTTAACAGACAGGAGCAGCAGTGGGGGGGATGCTTCCCCAACGTCGTACAGTGAGAAAGAGAATGGAGTGTGTAACACCCACACATGATGCCTGTGGTCAAAACCTGAGATTTCATGGTGCCGACAGAGTGTTAGTGGTGAGAGCTCCGGAACATCTGAGCCCCTGTGACCCACCAGTGACAACTATGCCCGGGAGGATGTGAGCTCCCAGGGCGCTTTGACTGCCTTACTGCCCCACCCAGAAGTGTCTGACCTGGGAGAGGTGCAAGCCGTCAGCTTGAGGCGGTGTGGACGGAGGATGGAGTGAGGATGCCGGTCAGTGAGGAGGCGGATTACGCTGAGAAGCAGAGTGTGGGATGCTTGGCGGCTGTGGAAAGTGACAGGAGGCCCGGACATCATATAGTGGAGGAGAGCCTGCTCACCCATCCTGGAAATAATCGGGACCCAGTGACCCACAGAAGGTGATCCCCCAAACAGTGACAGCCACAGATCATACCAGCCCACCTTTGGATGCCCTTGAGTGCTCCGGGGAGGAGGAAGGAGAGACGACAGCAGTGTCCAGAGCAGGAGCAGAAAGGACAAAGGAAGATGAAACAAAGGAGATATATGACGGGCTTCTGTGGATGGTGAGTCATAAAGAGAAACTGGTGGATACACTATCTTTGGGACTATCTTATAACCTATAGACTGCGCAAAAGTAACCTTCCTGTCTTGGAATTAAAGATAGAGAAAATACATTATTACCAATGAAGGTTAAAGCTGGGAAAGGAGGGGGCTCTAAAACATCTCAAGCAAGTACAATTAAAAAATACATGCCCTCACAAGAGAAAAGTGCAGAGGGTCAAACCCCTGAGAGACAACAGGGTGTAAAAGGAAGAGGGGAAATGAAAAAAAGCATCAGGATTGCTCCAAGTTGTCTATGGGAATATGGGAGTCAAAGTGTAGAAACTGAAGATGTAGAAAGAGAGCTGGCTACAGAAAAAGTTGAACAACCGAAGGATGAACAAACGCTTACCAAAATTTAGATTGCAGAAATGTTTATGAGATTGGAACAGTCCATAAAACAAGAGCTGTCAGTAATACTTAAAGACCTGGGGCAAGTGCTGTCACTGGTAGAAGAAACTGGTTATTACCTGGGCATGTTTATCCAGTTTTCCCTCAATCTAAAAAAAAACAGATGGAGGAGATGCGAAAGGAGCAAAAAGATTGCTATACAAATTGGAAGATCAAGAGAACAGAGATATAAAGAGCAATCTGAGGATACGAGGTTTGCCCGAGACTCTGCATGAAGGAGACCTGGTGGAAATAA